GGGTAAGGGTGAGCAAAGTGGGTAATTCCTTGAAATTACCTGCTTTTTTTTTTTATTTTATTTCTTTTTTATTTTATTTTTATTTTTATTTTTTTATTCCCTTTTTTTCTTTTTTTTTTATTTTTTTTTATTTCTCTTGTTCACTTGATAACCAATTCAAGCAAATAACATCCTACTTTGTTATTGATAAAGTCTGCTAATTCTAAAGGAGGAATTGGCTATGTTTTCTTTACCATTAAATAAAAATTTAGCACACTATTAATAATTTTTCTTTCTTATAATAGGTAAATGCAAAGATTTACAATTACTGGTAAAATGAAGAAATTTCCTAGAGGAATTTTTAAAAAAGAGTGCATATCAAGTGAAAATTTTTTTTTATATTTATACTTTATATTTATTATCTGATTTCTTATTATTGAATTGTATTTAATTATTTATTAATTATGGCATTATTTTGTATTGAAATACTGGATAACAGATGAAAATTCTTTGAATAGAATGATACTGATTTTTAGATAAGTGTAAATAGCTTATTAAAAGATTTTAAAAGAGGTGTGTATTTTTTATTTGCAAGTGGGTAACTTTCTAAGCTAAAATTAAAACAGATAACTCATTGAGTTAGAGAGTTTACACTGGTTAAAATAGTCCAAATCGGCTAGAAATTGGATGTCTGATTTTAGGTTGAATTTGGTAATAAAGATGGCTGAATTGTCAATCCAAAAAAAGTTTCAATTGGCAGGTTGATCGATATCAATCAGAATGTCTGAATTGTATCTGGATTGCTTAGTATTTTTAATCCGAATTGTTTAAAAAATATATTCATAAATTTACTGAATTGCAGTGAATTTATTCTGAATTATGATAAATTTTGATAAATTGCGATAAATTTTAATCTGAATTACAGTAAATTTTATTCTAAATTGTAATCTGAATTGCGGTAAATTTTCTATTCTGAATTGTGGTAAATTTTATTCTGAATTGTGTCTGAATTGCAGTTAATTTTATTCTGAATTGTATCTGAATTGCAGTAAATTTTATTCTGAATTGTATCGCAAATTGCAGTAAATTTTATTCTGAAATTTAAAATATTACATATACATATAAAACAATTTCACCCAAAAATCAATATTCCAGTTGCCTGAAAAAATGAAAAAAACTTGAAAGGTGAAGTAGCCGTTTAAAATCACCTTACCAAATTTCGAATTTCTATGTGTCTAAAAGATCTCAGAATAATGTTAAAAATGTTTAATTACATAAATAATAAAATACTTTTTTATAAAAGTTTTGAATTTTTTGTTTTGAAACTAACCTGGAAATCCAGTATACGTTAAATTCCTTAATTCCCATTCATTTCTACAAATTGGAGATGATTTTCCTACAAAAAAAAAGAAAAAATATTAAAATAATCAAAACATTACCTGTAGGATGGCAAATTGAAGCTGATTTCCCTACAAAAAAAATAATAAAATATAATAAAAAAATGTTAAATTAAACGTTTTTATTAAGTTTCGTCAAAAAATTTCAAAAATCAAAACTTTACTTGCGGGATTCCAGTATCCAAATTGGAGCCAATTTCCCTGCAAAAAAAAAATAATAATAAATAATTAAAAAATATTAAAATAAACGTTTTTTTATTAAGTTTCAAAAATACGAAACTTTACCTATAGGATTGGCCAAATCAAAGCTGATTTCCTATAAAAATATAAAAAACGTTAAAAATAAACATTTTTTATGAAAGTTTCAAAATTAAAAACTTTACTTATAGAATTTGCCTAATCAGAGCTGATTTCCTATAAAAAATATAAAAAATGTTAAAAATAAACATTTTTTATGAAAGTTTCAAAGTTAAAAATTTTACCTATAGAATTGGCCAATTCAGAGCCAATTTCCTATAAAAAAAATATAAAATGTTAAAATTAACATTTTTTTTATTAAGTTTCGAAAATACGAAACTTTACCTGTAAATTTGGCCAAATCAGAGCCCTGCACTTTGGTGTTCTGGACTTACAAAATTAAGAACGAATGTTAGTTAACGTTCGTTAAAATAAAATAAAATAAAATTTTTTTTTTCAAAGTTTTACCTTTGAAATGCCACCTAGAAAGCTGAAATCCTAAAAAAAAAAAAAAATTGAAATATTAGTCAACGTTTCATTCAAATAAAAATACAAAAAAAAATGCGAATTTCAAAGAGATACCTTCAAAATTCCATC